GCTCACTGCAACCTCCGCCTCCCGGGTTTAAGCGATTCTCTTGCCTCAGCCTCTCCAGTAGCTGGCGCCTGCCACCACGCCCAGCTAATTTTTTTGTATTTTTAGTAGAGACAGGGTTTCACTATGTTGGTCAGGCTGGCCTCGAACTCCTGACCTCAGGCGATCCACCTGCCTTGGCCTCCCAAAGTGCTAGGATTATAGGTGTGAGCCACTGTGCCAGGCCCCGAGCTCTTGCTTTTTATCTATTATATTTATTTGGGCTTTAATTTATAATTGCATTTTGTTCTTTTTTTTTTTTTTTAATGGAGTTTCGCTCTGTCACCCAGGCTGGAGTGCAATAGTGCAATCTCGGCTCACGGTAACCTTCGCCTCCTGGGTTCAAGCGATCTCCTGCCTCAGCCTCCCGAGTAGCTGGGATTACATGCACCTGCCACCACGCATTTTTGTGTTTTTAGTATAAATGGAGTTTCACCATGTTGGTCAGGCTGGTCTCAAACTCTTGACCTCAAGTGATCCGCCCGCCTTGACCTCCCAAAGTGCTGAGTGCTGAGATTACAGGCGTGAGCCACTGTGCCCGGCCTTTTTTTTTTTTTTTGAGACGGAGTCTTGCTCTGTCACCCAGGCTGGAGCACAGTGGCGCTATCTCGGCTCACTGTAAGCTCCGCCTCTGGGGTTCATGCCATTCTCCTGCCTCAGCCTCCCGAGTAGCTGGGACTACAGGCGCACACCGCCATGCCCAGCTAATTGTTTTGTACTTTTAGTAGAGACAGGGTTTCACCGTGTTAGCCAGAATGGTCTCGATCTCCTGACCTCGTGATCCACCTGCCTCGGCCTCCCAAAGTGCTGGGATTACAGGCATGAGCCATCGCGCCGGGCCTTTCTTTTTTTCTTTTTTTTTCTTGTTTTTTTTTTTGACAGAGTTTCGCTTTGCCCGCCGGGCTGGAGTGCAATGGCCCAATCTTGACTTACTGCAACCTCTGCCTCCTGGGCAATTCTCCTGCCTCTGCCTCCTCAGTAGCTGAGATTACAGGCGTGAGCCAACACGCCCAGCTGATTTTTTTTCTATTTTTAGTAGAGACGGGGTTTCACTATGTTGGCCAGGCTCGTCTCTTTGGGAGGCCGAGGTGGGCGGATCACCTGAGGTCGAGAGTTTGAGACCAGCCTGACCAACATGGAGAAATCCTGTCTCTACTAAAAATACAAAATTAGCCGGGTGTGGTGGTGCACGCCAGTAATCCCAGCTACTTGGGAGGCTGAGGCAGGAAAATTGCTTGAACCCAGGAGGTGGAGGTTGCGGTGAGCCGAGATCGTGCCATTAGCACTCCAGCCTGGGCAACAAGAGCGAAACTCCGTCTCGAAAACAAAAAAACAAAAGCAAAAAAAAAAAAGCAAAAAAAGAAAGTGACAGATGCCGTGGAAAAAGGAGAAAGTTGAGCAGAGGAAGGGAGATTGGCAGTGCTGGGAGGTGGAACTATAATTTTAAATATGGTGGTCACTGTAGGTCTTTTGGAGAAGATAACAATTAAGCAAAGACTTGAAGGAGAAGGATACGCTATCTGGGGAAAGTGTTCCGGACAGAGTAAACAGCAAGGTCAAAGACCCTGAGGCAGGAAAACTAAAGAAAGAAGGAGAATAGTAGGAAATGAAGATATAAAAGTAACAGAGTTTAGTGTCTTTGTATTAGGTATCCACTGCTGTGTAACAAATTGCCCTAAAATTTGGCTATTGACAATAATACACAGGAATTCAAGAGTGGTTTGGCTTGGGGGTTCTGGCTCTGGGTCCCAAGAGGCTGCAGTTTCTGAAGGCTGTGCCTGAAGAGTCTTCTTCCAAGGCAGCTCAGTCACATGGTTGGCAAATTGGTGCTGGTTGTTGATGGGGGAGGAAGGGATGAGGAGCGGAAGGACTTTGTTTCTATTTGTGTGGGTCTCTACTTGCTGTTTTTTTTTTTTTTGAGACGGAGTTTTGCTCTTTTTGCCCAGGCTGGAGTGCAATGGCGTGATCTCAGCTCACCGCAACCTCCGCCTCCTGGGTTCAAGTGATTCTCCTGCCTCAGCCTCCCGAGTAGCTGGGATTACAGGCGTGCGCCACCATGCCTGGCTAATTTTGTATTTTCAGTAGAGACGGGGTTTCTCCATGTTGGTCAGGCTGGTCTTGAACTCCTGACCTCAGGTGATCCACCCGCCTCGGCCTCCTAAAGTGTTGGGATTACAGGCGTGAGCCACCGTGCCCGGCCTACCTGCTGTTTTTTAAAAAAGGCTAGTGAAGTAAAGCAGTGAGAATAGAGAAGGAAGAAAGAAATCTGTAACTAGTTGTGATCAGTTGGTTGTAAACACCACTTCACTCAAACCAGCCTCCACATGCTGTTTGAGTATCTTCATGACATGATAGCTGCCTTCCCCTACAGCAACCAATCAAAAAACGGAGCAAGGCAAATACCACAATGCCTTTTATGACCTAGTCTTGTAAGTCACATGCTATCATTTCTACCATATACTACTGATGACACAGTCAGCCCTGGTTCATTATAGAAGAGAACTACCCCGGGGTGTAAATAGCAAGAGGTGAAGACCATTGGTGGTCATTTTGGTGGCTATGATAGCCTTGGTAGGTCATTATAAATCTGTGGCTTTTACTTTGAGGGAAATGGGAAGCCAATTAAGGGATCTGAGCAGTGAAATGACCATGAACTGACATGTTTCATGAGGATAACTCTGGCCATTGTGTGAAATGACTGGAGAGGAGCAAGGATGTAAATGGGAGACCAGTGAGAGGGCTATTACAGTCCGAGAGAGATGCACTAAGGTCATAATGTGGAGTCGAGAATTGGTGATATTCTGGATTCATTCTGAAGATAGAGATGACAAGATTTGCTGATGGATTGGATGTGGGATATGAGAGAAAGGAATTAAAGATGACTTCTAAGGGTTTTGGAGGAATAGGAATTACAAAAATGAGTTCAACATAGATCTTGCCATAATTGAGCTTACAACATAGGAGAGATAAGGTGCGTACACAAGTGCCATATATACTACATGGCAGAAAGCACTGTGCTCCATAATAGAGGCACAAATTTAAGTGCCAAGTATAACAAAAAAGTTCTGGAGATGGTCGCACAACCATGTGAATACACTTATTGCCACTGAAAAATGGTTAAAATAGTAAATTTTATTTATTTATTTATTTTGAGACGGAGTCTTGCTCTGTCACCCAGGCTGGAGTGCAGTGGCGCTATCTCTGTTCACTGCAAGCTCCGCCTCCCACGTTCACGCCATTCTCCTTCCTTCAGGCTCCCTAGTAGCTGGGACTGCAGGCGCCTGCCACCACGCCCAGCTAATTTTCGGTATTTTTAGTAGAGACGAGGTTTCACCATGTTAGCCGGGATGGTCTCCATCTCCTGACCTCGTGATCCGCCCGCCTCGGCCTCCCAAAGTGCTGGGATTACAGGCGTGAGTCACTGTGCCCGGCCTATGTATTTTTATTTATTTCTTTGTTTTGAGACGGAGTCTGGCTCTGTCACCCAGGCTGGAGTGCAGTGGTGTGCTCTCGGCACTGCAGCCTCCGCCTCCCGGGTTCCAGCGATTCTCCAGCCTCAGCCTATCAAGTAGCTGGGATTACAGGTGCACACCACCACACCCGGCTAATTTTTGTATTTTTAGTAGAGACGGGTTTTCACCATATTGGCCAGGCTGGTCTCGAATTACTGACTTCTGGTGAACCACCTGCCTCGGCCTCCCAAAGTGTTAGGATTACAGGCGTGAGCCACCGCGCCCAGCCAAAACAGTAAATTTTATGTCATGTACATTTTACCACAAGAAAAAAACAGTGCTTAAAAAAAAGCAAAAACAAAAATTAGAGAAGTGCCACTAGAGTTCAGAGCATGAAGGGATTAACTTCAGCTAAGAAAATCAGAGAAGGCTTTGTGTACGAGGATGGGGGGGCAGGCACAACAAGTAGTTCTGATTTGTTAGAAGATAGGGTAGGGTGCCCAAGGGGAGAATAAACATGCAACTAAGAGTTTTAAGAAAAGTCTTTCCTCTCCTCCCTCCAAGTTCCCTTGTTGTGAAGGGAGGATCATATCTTGCATCACTTGATTTCATTTGAAATGAAATATTCAGAATCCATCATCTCACCACATTACCCTGTAAGATCCCATTTTCCTGAAACAAAAATTCCTATGTTGATCTGACAATCCTACAACGCATTTGAAATAAATCCAGGATTTATTTCAGCATTTTATGTACACAGACTTCCTTTGTTTCCTGTCCATCTGCTTTCTTTTTCCTCTATTAATTTTCCCTTCACCTCCCAATCTTAACCCCCGCCATTCCCCCAGGGTCTCCTTTTCTTGTCATCCCCTTCATCCTTCCCTTCTTGGAAAAAGATCCGATTCTAACCTCAGTTACCTTATTAGCCGCGTGATACTGGGATAGCTATCCCCTCTGGGACTCAGTTTCCTTTGTAAAATGGGCTTATTAAATCCCCAGAGACAGTGCTTATCTTACAGGGTTGTCAACATTACAACAAAAACCACGTTATATGCCTAACACAGTACCTGATCTATAGTAAGAACTCAACATTTTCGCCCCTTCTCCTCCTCTTTTCCGTCCTTGTGCCTTTCTTCCCCTATTCCTCAACCCCAGGGCCCAACAGGTAAAAACCGTGGGAAAAACCATCCTTGAGGCTAAAAGAAGAAACGCAGGAGCTAGGGGCGGAGACTACGAGGTGCTCACTGCGCATGTGCGCCCGCTAGGTCAGGTTCTGGGTTCCAGCTGGGAGGGGGGCGGGGGGGTGGGGTTAGGGGTTGCAAGGGCCTCATTTTTTCTTACTGCCCCTTTCCGGTTCGGGAAGGTGGGGGGACCTTGGCGGTGCCCGGAGCCGGCGTGGCGCTCATCGAGGGACGCCCGGCCCAAGTGGTAAGTTGGAAAATGGCGGAGGGGGGGGGAAGAAGGAGGGGCTTTGCAGGGCAGGAGGCTGACCTCCCGGCCGGGGGTGGGAAGGACACAGCGGGGGCCCAGTGGTGCAACCCGGGCCCGGAGACTGACGGACAGCGCCTGGTGTCTCTTTGAGGCCCTGACGTGGACAAACTTCGGGTTTCACGACTCCGGGTTTCTCCAGCGGATGGGCCGACCGGTGGAGGCGCGTGAGGGAGACGAAGGGACTTCCGTTTCCTTCACCTAGGCTGGGGCCAGGCCGCAGAGCGGAGTTGGCATTTCCAGATTGGGGCTCGGGCCGCGCCTCCTCCGGGACCCTCCCCTTGGACCGAGCTGATCGCCGCGGGGCAGTTCGGGCCGGCTGTCCTGGCGCGGTGGGTACAGCTTGTGTAGGCTTTCCCCTCCTCCGCTTTCCCTCCTTCCCCTCTTCTCCCTCCCCTCTCTTCTTTTCCCCTCCACTCCCCTCGGGCCGGCGCTGCTGGGGAGGGCGGGAAGGCCGCGCCCGCCTGGCAGAGGTGGCCTGGCCCCGGCTGCTTGCCCGGGTTCCTCGGACTGCCGACGGCAGGCCTGGGTGAGTGGGTGGGTGACTTCAGGCCCGCGGGACTGCCTTCCTAAACCCTGTGACACCTAAGGTAAATTGAGGCAAATAACTTTTTTAAAAAATATGATCAAAGGGATTTCCTCCCCTTGTGATACCTGTGGCTTGTGTGGAGCAGGGTGGAGTGTGTCTGGAGAGGGCATATGAAACAGAAAGAATAAGGGCCAAAGAGCTTCCGGAAGAGGAAATTAGCTGGTAATTCTTTCCAATCTGCTTTCCCAGTCACCTCTCCGGCATGTTCTGTAAAACAAAATGTAATTTGATTTTGTTTCATTATTTTAACTCCATAACACTTAAATTATTTTCTTTTCGGGGAGGGGAGTGTTTATTCTCAAACTAAGCAGTAGCACTCTCCACCTCCGAAAAAGGAAAAACGTCAACCCAAGCTTTGTTAAAAAAACCCCAACCAATCAGATTTTAATAATCTACTACTTTGCTTTCAAATATAATTATGTCGCTAGTTCTGTCACAACTATACTTTGATAGTTTAATGACTCACAGAAATTTGTAAGACTGGAGGTTTCAGTAGTGTTTCTTTTCCTTTTTTTCCCCATAATATTTATTACAGTCAATGAACAGTGTTACAGACGGCCATCTTAGAATTATAACATTTTAGAGTTGGAAGGGATCTTAGTCAAACCCTGTCCTTTTACAAAACCAGAAACAACGGCTTAGGGAGATTTCATAGCTTGCTTAAGGCTATCCAACTAGTTAGATTAGAACCCATGTTATCTGGCTTCTTGCCCATCACTTTGCACAGTTGCTCCATATCGCCTCCAAGCATGAAAATTAAATGTATTCAATTCAACACACATTTCTGAAGAGTATAATACTTTGTACCAGTGACTGTGGTACCACTTTCTATGTATTTCAATGTATTTAACATGCTTATGGAGTACTTGAGCTTCCCCCCCACCCCCACATTCAAGAAGTGGCAACAGTTTAGATTTATATACACACCTTCACATGTATGTGTGTATACTTGCGTTTGCCTAGATAGTTTCTTGAAGGATATACAATAAAAATGTTAACAGTAGTTACTTATGGAGGAGAAGAGAGGTAGAAGACTTTTTACTTTGCACTTCACATGACCTGATGTACGGTTTGAATTTGTTATAAATTCGTATTGATTTCATAATTGAAAAGTTTTAAAGTTCACACCTTCCCACACAAATATATATATCAACATAAGCAAATATATACCAATGGTACATACACATATTTATGCACATATATGTATTTATACATATCAGTGGTTTGTACTGTAAAATCCAGTATGATTCAGGTCAACTCAGCTGACAAAGCAGGCCTCTATTGGATACTCATGTTTCATTTTCTTGTATTGCTCTCTCCTAATGTAAGATAGTAAAAATAATATGTTACTAGTTGTCGTATATTTTTAGAAATTGTCCTAAGCTTCTTGATTATCAAATAATGTAGCAAACTTTTAACACATTTAGAATATCAGATTTGGGTACTTGCTTCAGTGGTAGCACATATACTAAAATTGGAACAATTCAAAGAAGATTAGCATGGTGTTTTTTTGTTTGTTTGTTTGTTTTTGAGACGGAGTCTTACTCTGTCATCCAGGCTGGAGTGCAGTGGCACGGTCTTGGCTCACTGCAGCCTCCGCCTCCTGGGTTCAAGTGACTCTCCTGCCTCAGGCTCCCGAGCAGCTAGGACTACAGGCACGTGCCACCATGCCCGGCTAATTTTTGTATTTTTAGTAGACACGGAGTTTCTCCATGTTGGCCAGGCTGATCTCGAACTCCTGACCTCAGGTGATGCACCGGCCTCAGCCTCCCAAAGTGCTGGGATTACAGGTGTGAGCTACCTCGCCCGGCCGGTCCCTTTTTTTGTGTATATGTGTGTTTGTGTGAGACAGAATTTCGCTTTTGTTGTCCAGGCTGGAGTACAATGGCGCCATCTCGGCTCACTGCAACCTCCACCTCCTGGGTTCAAGTGATTCTTCTGCCTCAGCCTCCCAAGTAGCTGGGATTACAGGTGCCCACCACCACACCCGGCTGATTTGGTCCCATTTTAAATAAGCAACAACAACAACAAAAATTTGACACCTGACGCTGTGGCTCATGCCTGTAATCCCAGCACTTTGGGAGGCCAAGGCAGGTGGATCACCTGAGGTCAGGAGTTCCAGCCTGGCCAACATGGTGAAACCCCATCTCTACTAAAAGTAAAAAACTAGCCGGGTGTGGTGGTGTGCATCTATAGTCCCAGCTACACGGGAGGCTGAAGCAGGAGAACTGCTTGAACCCAGGAGGCAGAGGTTGCAGGGAGCCGAGATCGCACCACTGTACTCCAGCCTGGGTGACAAGAGCGCACCTTTGTCTCAAAAAAAAAAAAAAAAAGAAATTGATACAATGAAAATATCTGCAGCCTGGGCAACATGGCGCAGCCCTCTCTCTAATAAAAATACAAAAATTAGCTGGGCATGCTGGCTTGTGCCTGTAGTCCCAGCTACTTTGGGGAGTTGAAGCAGGAGGATCACCTGAGCCTTGGGAGGTGGAGGCTGCAGTGAGCCATGATTGGGCCACTGTACTCCAGCCTGGGCAACAGAGTGAGACCCAGTCTCAAACAAAACAAACAAACAAACAAATCAGAATTGTAGACTCTTTGTAGGTAAGAATATATGTTTTTTTAAAAAGTGAAGACTAGGGCCAAGTACGGTGGCTTTCACCTGTAATCCCAGCACTTTGGGAGGCTGAGGTGGGCAGATCACCTGAGGTCAGGAGTTCAAGACCAGCCTGGCTAACATGGCGAAATCCCATCTCTACTAAAAATACAAAAATTAGCTGGGTGTGGCGGTGCACCCCTCTAGTCCCAGCTACTTGGGAGGCTAAGGCAGGAGAATCACTTGAGCCCATGAGGCAGAGGTCGCTGTGAGCTGAGAATGGAACATTGAATTCCAGCCTGGGCCGCAGAGTGAGACTCTGCCTCAAAAACAGATAAATAAAAATAACATAAAATTAAAAGTTAAGACTAAAACAGTTTGCAGTGATTAGGAGTTCAGCTGTCTAGTTTTGTTTTTGTTTTTGTTTTGAGATGGAGTTTCGTTCTTGTTGCCCAGGCTAGAGTGCAATGGTGTGATCTTGGCTCACCTCAACCTCTGCCTCCCGGGTTCAAGCAGTTTTCCTGCCTCAGCCTCCCAAGTAGCTGGGATTACAGGCATGCACCACCACACCCGGCTAATTTTGTATTTTTAGTAGACACGGGGTTTCTCCATATTGGTCAGGTTGGTCTCGAACTCCCGACCTCAGGTGAAAAAGTGCTGAGATTACATGCGTGAGTCACCGCGCTCGGCCCAGCTGTCTAGTTTTTAGAAGTAGATTAAGACTCAAAAAAATATATCACCCATCGTAATATATCTGATTATTAGCAAAGCTTGGACTAGAGTCTAGGTTCTAGTCTAGTGGCCCTTGTACTATACCTGTAATTTTATTGCCTTCTCGTGCATTGGATGATTCCAACTAGGCTAACAAAGTGATAATATCTAAAGGTTAGCCAGGACCATTTCAATAGGTAAGAATTATTATTTTTTTCTTTGGTTTTTATTTTATTTTGTCTTCCTTTTTTTTTTTTTTCCCATTTTCAGGAAGTGAGCAGTTTCTCAAAATTATTATAATTGATGGACCAGCTAATTTGTATAGTGCTTAAAATATTTTAGTAACAAAAATTTTACTAAATAAATTTACTAATTTAGTAAATAAATGTTCTCCTTTTACTTCATTATAAACATTAATTTCTTTAGTAAATCCTGTATTTATATTGTAAATGCTTAGAGATACCAAATGTAAAATAATAATGTTTCACCGTTTTTGTTTGGTCTAATGTTTAAGTCTGGTAGCTAGTATTAGCAGAGAGCAAAACCTACAGTTTATGAAATAAACATTCATTGAGCACTTTATGTGTTCCAGGCATTGTAGTATGTGGTATGATTCCAAGAATAAACATGTCAAAAAAAAAAAAACGCCTTTCTTCTTCTTCTTTTTTTTTTTTTTTTGAGCGAACGGAAAGCAGAGTCTGGCTCTGTTGCCCCAGGCTGGAGTGTAGTAGCCGCAGGATCTTGGCATCTCAGCTGCAAGCAGCTCGCCTCGCCCGGGTTCATGGCCATTCTTCCTGCGCTGCGGGCCTCGACCAAGTAAGCTGGGACTACAGGAGCACCCACCCCACCAGCACCGCTAATTGTGATGTGTGTGTGTGTGTGTGTGTGTGTGTTAGTAAACGGACTGCGAGCCGGGGGCGTGTTTGCATCGTGTTCAGCAGGATGGTCCGGTTCGCCCCCTGACTTCGTGATCCGCCACCTTCGCGCCTCCCAAAGTGGTGGGATTAAGCACGCTGTGAGGCCA